AAAAGCAATTTGCAGCCGGATTTTGGGGAGGTCAGCTGCCTCTACAGAAATCCATTCTGTCCCCCACTAATTTGATAAAGCAAGCTTGCAATGCAAATTTAAAAGAGGAAGGCATTCAAGGGGAACTTTTTTCCACTTGGTGAAATTAACCTGGCTTTAAACCCAACTATACTGCACATTTTTTATGAGATGCAAACAGCACTTCCTTTAAATAAATCTTGTGCTGTAATAAACTCAAGTTTCTTCAATAATTTGGGCTATTAAGTACGTTATAGCAACCTGCCTCTTCCCGTGTATTGCTTACTCCTGCCTATTTGGCCAAAGGCCACATTTATCAACAGAGCCCTTGCGTCTTAACCTAGATTAAAAAATTTAAAATGGCAACAGTTAACATTGCAAGGGAAGCTGCACTTGTTTAAAAAATTAAAGATGTCTGTTTGTGAACCATTCAAGAAACCAGGTTAATTCTCTTTAGCTGTTTTATGCAATAGTAAACTGTTCAAAACCTTTTGCGTTATTTTTGCATTGTAGTTTTTAATGCTTAAGGGCCTCACGGCTTGAGGATTGATATAGTATAGTTAGGCCATCTGTAAATGGCACGTTGGATACCAAATTGTGATTTTAATGTTTTATTACTTTATTCTAGAATCTTTAAAGTGGATATTCCTTGAGTGTTATTTGTTCTGGTCTTTGATTTGTTCTGGTCTTTGACTTGTCATAAACTTGTAAACTGAAATGGGTGGCAATAAAAATCAAGTTTTTGTTCAAATGGCCCCATACTGAAGGACACCACCCCATAAATTTCACATATTGAGACAGAATCAAAGGTGGAGAATGATTTGTTAGGGTAAAAGAAATCAATTATTTTAATCATAAATTTAAGGTATTTTGTCAGTGTTGAAGTTATTTGTTCAATAGAAGATACTATCAATTCAAGAATAAATTGCTTGAAAATTAAGGCCACAAATGATTCCCAAGACAGCAGAAACACAAGCCAAAAAGTAATTTCTTAACAGCTATTAAAAATTAGGAGCCAAATATATAACTATCATTGTATGGGAAAATAGAAGGAAGAAGTATTAAGTACGTTTGCTGCCCTATTTATAAAACTGATATAAAAATCTAATGAGTTTGAGCTTCAGCTCAAAAGTTTAATGCTACATTTTCACTTCAACGAAAAGCCTGCCATACTACAAAATTTGAAAACCTCATTTTCTTCTCTACCCACCAGGTAAATCAAGAATGAATTCAAAATGAAGGGGGGGTGGAAAATTAGCAAACTTGTGTAGAAAAAAATCATGGAACATTTTGGCAAAATGAATCTAAAATGGCAATAGGAAATGGGCCAGAAAATTTAAGGACAATCTCCTTTATTTGTATCTCAGCAAATTTAATTACTGTTTTCTAGAAACGTTGGAAGGCCTTTGAATATCAAGGCAGCCATTTCCTAACTTGAAGGCAACCTAGAAGATCCACCCAAATCCTTTTTAACCAAGTTTAACAAAGCAGCCAATTTCTCATCTTTTGAGTTTTCCAAAAACTTCCACTTGAGGCAAAGTATTATTGGTCTACTCCCAACTAGACTTTTCTTGCTGAAATTAACTCCTTTATCTCATTGCAAAGTTGCTCAATTGAATTATCAACCTTCCTTTCTCGTAGAGTTTAATCTAACTGCAGAATTCAAACTTTCAAGCAGGGCAAGTTGTCATAAATTTCTATAACCTTACTCTTTCAAAATCTTCTGCCTGTCCCATAAAATAACATTTTCAGCATAACAGAAAAAAAAATACTTTTTGGTCAAAGAAACCCAAATTCTACATAAACCTGATATGAAAAACGCAGTTAAACCAGCTTTTAACTAAATTTGTTTTATCTAGCTAATATTCAGGATGTGGTACATAGAGAAAGACTAGAGTTTGTTGAATTTTAGAAGACCTCTTAAAATAAACGACATAGAAACCAAGCCGGAGATATTTTGTTTAAAAAAAAAAAACCCCACATTTGAGTTTAAAAAAACAGAAGGCTTTTCTCCTTCCACTTTTAACTAAGAGAAACTCCCACTAATAGAGAACGAGCATAGGAAAAGCTATAGAAATATTTATTTTCTTGAGAAATAGGCGTTATCAGGCTCTTGATAAAACCCCCCACCTCAGAATAAACCGAAAATAACTAAAGAGATTTGCAAAGCAGGCCCCTAACGCAACAGGAAAATAAACAACGATCGTTTGAACGAAGCAACACCATTCGCCTTTTTTTCCCCCACCCAGAAATGAACTGGGCAGGCTCTGCAGCAAGAAATATAAACCTCAGGTCTATACCAACTTCAAAATGAAAGGGGGGACTCTAGGGAGAAAACTTTCTTAAGTATCTTGAAGGGACATTTCCAGCCAAATCTCCTGACCGCTACTATGACATCGTGTTTATAATACTTTGTAAGTCGTTCCAACTTTGTAGCCTATTTTATTTCAGGAGCTGAAGTTTAAGTTTCAAGCTGTTCTCCCCCCACGCCCTAGTTTCCATTTGGAACATTCCAGCCCGGAGCAATATTTTCCAAAGCGGCAGTTTCAGTAAAGTAATTTGCAAACTCTAATGGGGAATTTTAATGGTTGGGTGGGTTGCATGCAAAAAAAAAAAAAAAAAGAGGAAAGATAGCCGGAATTTTGCTCTTATTTTCTGGAAAAGCTTCTCAAGTCAAAGCGATTGTCTGCTGGACTTTGCTGAAAGGGCAACTGCTCTACACAAGTACATTTTCCCCTTTGAAGGAGAAACTCTGCAAGTTGCAATGCAAAATCTCCAATATAAATGCAAAAGAGGATGGCGTTGGAAGGGAATAAATTTCTGCTGATGAAACTAGCCAGCCTTCAACCCACCACTGTATGCTTTTCCTTGTATGCAAATAGTATTGTATGCAAATTGTATTTATTGTCTGCAAAGTGCACTCTTGCACTGTGACATATAACAACAAACTTGCTATCTTCAAATAATAATAATTGGGCTATAAAGTATGTTGTGGAAGCCTATCTACCCCATGCATCCATAATACTGCATGCTCATTTGGCCAAAGGCTGATACATCAACAAAGTCCTTGCATTTTTGTCAACTTGGGTCAAAAAAGTCAAAATGGCAGCTTTGTCATTGCAAGTAAAATTTTGACTGTTTTTTATGGTCAATAAAAGACACGTTTCACATCCCTGAGTTAAGGGTGGGGGAAGCCAACCCCCTATACTTTGTTCCAGAAGATTTTTCTTTTAAATTCAGGTTAAATTAAAAAAAATAATTTTTAAATTCTGCTTTTGACGTAAACTCGTCATCTGCTTTCTAACTTTATTCAGTAGTGGTGCTTCATACTCCAGGTGGCTCATAACATAATAAAAAAGATAAAAATGCATCAATTCAAAGGAAAATCAACATACAGATAAAAAGACTGACATTCACATTATATTATAGCCTTAATTTTTATAAAATGATGTATTGTTGGTGTTTGACACTGGAAAAATTGTCTATGAGGTACTTCACATTTATGCTGGAAATGTGAATAAGGGGGGATTTTTTAATTACTCTTGGGCAATAGGTAAAAAAGCTGAAAAAATTGGATTCAAATACATTAATTCAGAAGATTTTAAAGATTTTTAAAATCTTTTGGGACCGATTGATAAGAAATTGAGAAAAAAATCATGGAAATTTGTTTCTATATCTGATAATAGCAGCGAGACTTCTATATACAGAAGGATGGAATGGTTTGACCAAGAGAAAAATGGACAATGAAGATGATGGGGCCTGCTGAGATGGCATAACAACAATCCTGTGAGGTAGGTTAGGCGGAGAGAGTGAATGACGCAAGTTCACCCAGCCGGCTTTCAGGCCTAAGCCAAGACTACAACTCCCAGTCTCCTGGTGATGGCCCAAAGTCACCCAGCTGGCTTTTAGGCCTAAGCCAAGACTACAACTCCCAGTCTCCTGGTAATGGCCCAAAGCCATCCAGCTGGCATTCAGGCCTAAGCCAGGACTACAACTCACTGTCTCCTGGTGATTGGTTCAAAGTTACCCTATTTATTTATTTATTTATGAGACTTATATACCGCTTTTAAGTGCAATTAAAAGTCACCCACCCAGCTTTCGTGTCCAAGGTGGGACTACAACTCTCAGTCTCCTGGTGATGGCTCAAAGTCACCCAGGTGGCTTTCAGGCCTAACCCAGGACTATAACTCACTGTCTCCTGGTGATTGGCCCAAAGTCACCAGCTGGCTTTCATGCCTAAGACAGGACTACAACTCACTGTCTCCTGGTGATTGGTTCAAAGTTACCTAGTTAAAAGTCACCCACCCAGCTTTCATGTCCAAGGTGGGACTACAACTCCCAGTCTCCTGGTGATGGCCTGGGCCTTCACTTCTGGACTAAACTGGCTGTTGAAAATATGTGCTATGGTCACGTTTTGTGAATAATCACATTTGGGTTCCTTGTAACGCCATTTTGTTGCCCTTCAAAACTAGATTTCTTGGATTGCAGCCTCTTTATTTATTCTTTTTTTTTAATCCCACCTCTATCCATTTATAAATAACTCCAAGCAGTGCACATAAAAGAATAGATAAGGCCAGAGTTGGGGAGAGACCACTGTAAACATCAGGACGAAGTGAAATGAATGGAAAAGATAAAGGCAAGGATGTCACTATTTGCACATTTTGGTCCTCGGTGTGGGTGGTGCCAATTTTCCTTGGCACAGAGTTTGGAAATCTTTATCATTGGCACGGCACCCAGAAGGATTGACTGAATGATTGATGGGCAACTTCGACTCTGACGCCTCATGGTTTGAGACGGAGCTGGTGCAATAGATGGTAAAACTGTCCACGTTGTGGGTCAGGTTTTTCCACCACAAAGGCATACAGTTTCCTCCACCTGTGTGTAGCTCCGCTGAAACACCCTTGTTTGAACATGCAGCTTCCTAGATGAGTAGGATGCGCGTGCCTCACTTCAGTTCCTGCTCTTTGTAGGATGAAGAAGGTGTGGAGTTGAGATACCTTCAGGCTGCTTTCTGCAAGCTGGATCTCCAGAAGAGAGATGGGCAGACTCGCAGCGCCAGATAAAGCGTCCTTCCAAATTGGTCGGAGGCTCGAACTGAAGGAGATGTGACTTGAGGCTTAAACCTTGAATATTGGGCTTGTGGTATACCCAGAATTTGGCGTCAGGTGCGGCATTTTCCAATATACTGAAGAGGCTGGAAAAGGTAAGTTAACTTGTGCTGTGTTGCAATTCTCATCTGAAAATATATAAGGGAATATATCTATATATGTCTATACCTATATCCTGATAGTTAGAACAATTAACCAGTGGAACTACTTGCCACCGGAAGCGGTGAATGTTCCATCACTGGACGTTTTTAAGAAGAGACTGGACAGCCATTTGTCTGAAATGGTATAGGGTTTCCTGCCTGAGCAGGGGGTTGGACTAGATGACCTCTAAGGTCCCTTCCAACTTTATTATTATTGTTGTTGTTATTATTATTAATCTATATATATATATAACTATATAATATATAGATCAATAAATTGATAGATATTATCTATTTGCCTACCTACCTACCTATCCACCCACCCACCTACCTACCTATCTATCTATCTTTATCATCTATCTACTTGTCTTTCTGTCTATCTATCACGGGATCTCCTTTTGCGACCTTGTGACAAGCAAAGTCAATTGAGGAAGCCAGGTTTACTTAACAACTGTGGCCAGAAAGGTCATAAAACGGGGCAATACTCACTCAGCAACTGTCTTGCTTAACAACAGAAACTTTGTGTTCAGTTGCGGTTATAAGCTGAGGTCTACTTGTATTCTAGTAATTTGGTTTTCTGTGGATGGCTGGATAGATGGATTTGTTAGGCATGAAAGCCGACTGGGTGACTTTGGGCCAATCACCAGGAGACGGTGAGTTCTAGTTCCACCTTAGGCATGAAAAGTGGCTGGGGGACTTTGGGCTCCCTCTCAGCCCAACCCCCTTCACAGGGTTGTTGTTTTGGATAAAATAGGAGGAGGAAGGAGCATGGTGTGTGTTCACCATCTTGAGTTATTAGTAAAAGCAATGAAGACAGGACACAAGCAAATCTTCAGAGGGATATGATTTCTCCAAGGTGCTTTTCTTGTGTTAAAACAGGGGTCTTCAAACTTGGCAACTTTAAGACTTGTGGACTTCAACTCCCAGAATTCCTCCCTGGCTGGCTGAGGAATTCTGGGAGTTGAATCCACAAGTCTTAAAAGTTGCCAAGTTTGGAGACCCCTGTGTTAAAATGTAATTCACAGAGATCGTAATAAAAGATGGAAGGCCGGCATGATACTGACGTGTCTGTGTTTCCTTACCTCAGGGGTTTTCAAACTTGGCCCTTTTATGACTTGTGGAGTTCAACTCCCAGAATTCCTCAGCCAGCCTCCATTTTGTTTGTTAGATTTAAGACAAGGGTCTTCCAACTTGGCCCTTTTATGACTTGTGGACTTCAACTCCCAGAATTCCTCAGCCAGCCTCCATTTTGCTTGTTAGATTTATGACAGGGGTCTTCCAACTTGGCCCTTTTATGACTTGTGGACTTCAACTCCCAGAATTCCTCAGCCAGCCTCCATTTTGTTTGTTAGATTTAAGACAAGGGTCTTCCAACTTGGCCCTTTTATGACTTGTGGACTTCAACTCCCAGAATTCCTCAGCCAGCCTCCATTTTGTTTGTTAGATTTAAGACAAGGGTCTTCAAACATGGCCCTTTTATGACTTGTGGACTTCAACTCGCAGAATTCCTCAGCCAGTCTCCATTTTGCTTGTTAGATTTATGACAGGGGTCTTCCAACTTGGCCCTTTTATGACTTGTGGACTTCAACTCCCAGAATTCCTCAGCCAGGCACGCCAGCCAGCATGTTTTTCCACCCTTGGCAGCTTGTCAGGCCCCCAACACCAAGAAAGACATGTAGCCAATCTTTAAAACAGTTTTTTTTTTTATTGTTCCACACCTATTGACCGAACATTGCCTAACTGAAGTAACCTACTACCTAAATCATACATATACTTTGGGAATATTAGGGAGAGGCTGTCCTCACCCGCTCTCACACACAAAATATCCAAATGGTTGTTTCTTACTCCTCCACAATGCTTCTCCTCCCTTCTGGGAAAGCAGCCCACTACATTCCATCACACAATTTTAAGATAGGTGGATTTCGACTCCCAGAATTCCCCAACCAGCATATTTTTTCAAACTTGGCGACTTTAAGAGGCTTGTGGATTTCGACTCCCAGAATTCCCCAACCAGCATATTTTTTCAAACTTGGCGACTTTAAGAGGCTTGTGGACTTCAATTCCCAGAATCCCCTAGCCCAGGGGTAGGTAACTGGCTCTTTTATGACTGGTGGACTTCAACTCCCAGAATTCCTGAGCCAGCCATGCTGAGGGGAAGGGAGAGGTTTCCAAGCTGAGTCATGCTGGTTCAGGAATTCTGGGAGTTGAAGTCCACCAGTCATAAAAAGAGCCAAGGTTGCCTACCCCTGCCCTACCCAGCATGCTTTTCCATAGTGGGCATCTTTAAGGTACATGGACCTCAACTCCCAGAATGCCCCTGTTTTTCAAACTTAGCAACTTTCAGATGTTTGCGGATTTCAACTCCCAGAATTCCCCAGCCAGTTATTAAAGTTGAAGTCCAGTTATCTAAAAGTTGGCATGTTTAAAAACCACTGCTAGGTCCTGAATTCAGCTGTAATTGCAGTAAACATTGTAGGAGAAATCTATCAATGTTGGCCAAAAATAATAATAAAAAAAACGCGTTTGCTAGCTCCTTTTCCAACTAAGCAATTTTATCAAAAGGCATTGTTAGGCTCCCTAATTAGTGGATATGTAACTGCAAGCCTTTAATTGCGCCTTTCAGATGCAAACCTGATTCATCACCGGCTTGTGATAATCATATCGAACATTTGGTCCTGGGAAATTTGACAAGCAAGTAAAAAGGGAACCAAAACATACTCATATTTGACTACATCACGCTGACAGTAAAAAACAACAACAACCATGCACGTGACTTTAAAACAGAATTCAGCAAATAATAAGCCCTTTTATTTGGGACTGCTATCGGTAGCCTAAATTATAGCCCTGCCGGTTATCACGTAAAATAGAAACTCCTTAGGTTATTTACTTATTTATTGCGCAAGTTTAACCCCAAACCTAAGTAAAAGTTGGCAGTTTAACCCCTGTTCCTGTGCTGATGTCTCTGGGAATCCAACAGATCAGGAGAGTGCTGTTTCTCAATCTTGGCAACTTGAAAATTCAGTGGGGGAATTCAACTCCCAGAATTCCCCAGCCAGCATGGCTGGGAATTCTGGGAATTGAATTCCCCCACTGCATTTTCAAGTTACCAAGATTGAGAAAAAGTGGCTGAATAAATTAAAACCAGTATGCTCAATTGCAACTGTAAGCCAATGTGGGGTCTCAAGGATAGGCCAGCAATAAAGACACTTAGAAAGTTTTTCAGTCTTCAAAGGCAGCCCCATGTAAGCACTTTGCAGTAGTCTAGCTAAATTGCAATGAACTCCAGGTAATCCTCAGCTTATAACTCTCCACTGAGTCCCAGATTTCTGTTGCTAAGCCAGATGGTGGTTAGGTGAGTTTTGCCCTGTTTCACGACCTTTTTTGCCACCGTTGTTAACTGAATCAGTTGTTAGGGGAGTAACACCGTTATTAAGTGAATCTGGTTTCCCCATTGACTTTGCTTGCCAGTAGGTCACAAAAAGGGGATCACGTGATCCCGGAACACTACAACTGTCATAAAAACAACCTAGTTGCCAAGTGCCCAAACTTGGATCACGTGACCCTTGGGGATGCTAAGTGTGGGAAATGATCGTAAGTTACTTTTTCTAATGCCGTTGTAACTTTTAGCGGTCACTAAGGGAATTGTTGTAAGCTGAGGACTACCTGTATCAATTAATAGGCCACCAACCATAATGTGAAGTATGTGGATGATACAACAGTAGTGGGCCTTGTTCAGAATGACAGTGTGGGTGCTTATTTGTCTGAAATGGTATAGGGTTTCCTGTTCGAGCAGGGGGTTGGACTAGATGACCTCCGAGACCCCTTCCAACTTTATTATTGTTGTTTTTGATCGTCACACAGTCAGCCAGATGTTCAGACTGAATTTGGCATTTTTATTGAGTCCTCACCCAGGACCTGGGATAGGCAGATGTGGACGTTTGATGGCATTACAGATCTCGTTGCAAGAGATGTAAGAATTTTACTCATGTCTGCCAGGTAAATTTGTTGACCAAGCCTATTTACAATTAACATAGCATTGCTGGCTGTGGAATTCTGGGAGTTGAAGTCCACATGCCTTAAAATTGTCAAGGTTGAGAAACACTGACTACTAGAATTTAATGCACAGGCTGCACATGTTCAACAGAATGTCCTCTTCTGCTTAAAATGTTTTCCTTCCTTATAACATAAAGTTGCATTGTTTGCTTCTTTCCCTTTTTCTTTCTCTTCCAAAGAAGTCTGACTCAATTACTGGGAAAGCCTGTCAGCTGCCAATTTCAGGGGGAGGGGGGAGTAAGACCTGGCTTTTCCGGCAGGCCTGGGGTTTATAAAACCTTACCCCTGGATGATTGTCTTTGTACTGCTGTTTTGTTATGTTTTATGTGTTTTTTATTGTTAGCCACCCAGAGTCCTTCGGGAGTGGGGCGGCTTATAAATTTTAAAAATAAAAATAAATAAGAAAATATTTTTTCAATGTTTTCCTCTCCGTTTGCAGTCCATTGCTTTGAATCACAGAGAACACCTAATGACACTGATAATGGGCACCCCCCCCCCAAAAAAAACATTACTTGGCTGTGCCCAGATGGTATCTATCCTGGTCCTCATTTTGTTGTGAAAGAACGATGACACTCTGCTCCTGTATTTAACTGAAAAAGTGCTTCTCTTCAGACATCATCATCATCATTGTTATTATTATTGATCATCGCACAGTCAGCCAGATGTTCAGACTGGATTTGGCATTTTTGTCTACCTATCGAGTCCTTACCTAGGACCTGGGATAGGCAGATGTGGCATTACAGATCTCGTTACAGGATGGAAGTAGTTCCTAGTAAGGCCGCCTTTTGCAATTGACTAATGGCGAATTTGTCAATGCCAATGATGGTGTTCAAGTGGTGCTCCAGTTGTTTTGGGATTGCACCCAAGGCGCCTATGACTATTGGTACTACCCTTGCTTGCTT